TATTTGTATATCATTTTATCTTATAAAATATATAAATTTTTAATCAATTATATTTTTAAAATTTTTTAAATAAATCTTCTAAAATAAATAATTTCCATTTTGTTTTGTTAAATATTAGTTTTAAAACGTGGATGGATCGACGAATAAAATATGTAATAAAATATAAAAATTATTTGTTAAAATAGTATAAATTTTATGAAAAAAATTACCTATATAAATATGCACAATTCCATGTTCAATAAAAAAATTTAGAAGATATCAATATATTTTAAATCGTTTTTCTCATTTTTGAATTTGTCTTAGTTTTAAACGAGTAAAATGGGCAAAGCCCGTATTCTGAATAATCTTCGTATTTGGTGATAAAAAAAGTGATAAAACGTCGTAATAAGCAATAAAAGAATAAGACATAACAATAAATTTCTGGTCCTTGTTCGATTAGCTCTCCATTCAAGGAGTTTATGTCGATGAGTAAAAAGATTTCGATATTGTAACGGTAATTCAAAAGTACTACGTAATGGATAGAGAGAACGATAAAAATCATTCAATAATGCCCGAACTACTTCATTTTCAGCATGTCGAAGAGGATCCATATCATCATTTAGACAAATAAATTTTCTAAAATTTAATAATATTATTTAATAATATCTATTATTAAATCTGTAATTAGTGAAATTACTTACTTACTTGGGATCCCTACGTATCTCGTCCAAAAGTTGTACTGTTAAAGATATGTTACTCGTTAACATTTCAAATATTTCATTTTTTCCTGCTTTAATTATCTCATGTTGATAAAGTTTTTCTTCGCCAAATTTGGTTTTAACTTTTCTTGAAACTAATTCGCATTTTGCTATCAATTCCTTAGTTACAATTGGCTATAAAAACATTATAAAATATTATTATAAATATATTATAAATAAATGATTTATATTTATATTTTCATATTTTATATATCATAATTAACTCATAATTAATAAAAAAATTTATTTACAAGTGATGAATCCAAATATCTTTCTCCTGGTGGTACATTTAGTATTTTAGTAATTTTTATATGATTTGAACAGTTTGTTATTGCATTTTCAAAATCAATAACTAAACTATAATCAAGAGGGAGTGGATAAAGTCTAGATAGAAGAGTCCTAATTTCTCTGTCTGACCAAGTGCTGAAAATAATAAATCACGAAAACCGCACAAAATTACTATTTTGAATAATATTTTTATTATTTTTTTGCTCTTTTTCTCTCTCTATTATTACTATTTTATAATAGTATAACTACCCTGATTTATCGGTGTCAAATATATCAAATATTTCTTCAATTGGTACATTCCGTTTTTCACTCATTAAAAAATAAAAATAGGAAAAAGCAAATTGCATGTCCTCTGAGTTTCTAACTTTATGGTTAGATGTTCTTTTAAATTCATGTTTGAATTTCTTTTGCATATCAGCAACAATCCATTTATCTATCAGATGAGGCATATGAGCGGGTACTCTTCTACGTTCGAATCCATATGCCATATTATATATTCTATTTACAAACAGCAAAGATTCAGCATATGTATCAAGTTGTCTCGTTCTAAGTTTCCATTGATCAGAATGATGTAATTTATGATTGATTTTTATAGTACTATTAACTTGTGGCAAATTTATGATATCATCATTTAAATAATGTTTCAATAGCAAACGTCTTTTAGTTATATTTGATGTTTGAAATTTTACTTTATTCATCATTTTTGATAGTATTGATTTCTGAGTAGATATAATCTGATCATTTTGAATCAATTGTTCATTAAAATATTTCTCAATGGAACTTATATAATTATTTTTAAAATTATGAGATTTATTTATATTTAACTTTAAATTTGTAGTCATATTTGATGGTGATGGTTGTTGAATAAATGTTTCTGTATCATTCCATATAGTACTTATATTTCTATTTCTTAATAAATTTAGAAATTTAAAACCATAGTTATTATCATCTAATGAATCTTGTAAAAGTTTGTGTGAATAATCTCCTTCTTCTTCAAGAGTTTCACTGTCAGTAGGAACTGGTGTGCTATCACAATCTCCTCCTACAAAAAAAATTTAAAAAATTGAATTAGATTTATACAAGATTTATATTTATATATATACAAATATAAATATAAATATAAATATACATATATATTTATACTATATTTCTATTTCTTAGACTAATTTCTTAGATTAATAACTGATATAATTATTATTTAAAAACAAATGTAAACAATGAATGCTACCATCAAATTCACATAATGTTGTATTACAAGCAGGATCACATGATCCATCACCCACCCAAGCCCAAGGACAAACATCCGAACAATCAGGAACCCACCATGCAAGATATATTTTTTGACCATTTGCTTGGGTAATAAAATCTTCTGGCCACACTTCTGCCCCTAACATAACATCATCATTAAAATATAAAAATTTATCTGAAATTCCAGGAATTCTGTAAAAATAAAAATCATATTGAGCATATTATAAGCAATCATTAACTATTATAAAATAAATGAATTTGACTACTACCTATGAATATTACTTTCAATAGCTGGACTAGAAAATGTTGGAAGATCACTTTTATTTATAAATATATCTTCATGAGTAATAAGCGTAACTTTAGGATTATCCATATCTAACCAACTTGGTATTTGACCATTTGTAACAATATACACATGTCTTACCCAAGGTGCATATTTTTCCAATGAACGTAATGAATATCTTAATTCATCTTTATCATTAAATCTGGAAGCAGCTGTATTAATATCAGTAATAGGAACGTGTTCTTTCAAACTTTTTAAAAAAACTGGATCAGAGCCATTGACCCATGTATACACAACATCTATTGGAACATGTTGACATAGCTTTTTTTGAAAAGAGATACCTAATATATTATCATTAAAAGAATGAAATACTGCTTCATATTTTTCTTTGCTCCAAGTTATCCACATCTGAAATATTTGTATTCAATTAAAATAAAAAAATTTGAAATTTGAAAAATTAAAATATTAAAAATTATAATATAAAGATTTAAAATTTAAATTAAAATTTAAAATACTAAATATTAAATATTAAATACTAAATACTAAAAACTAAATACTAACTTGATAATTTTGAAGATAAATTTTAAGATTTAAATTCTTTTAAAAGGATTAACCATTTAACAAAATATATATTGAATAATAACAATTAATAAAGTAGATTTAGCATAAAAACAATAGAGATGATAATATGTTCTCTAACCTCTCCGAAATGAACAATACCAATAAATATACAAGTGAACGCCGTTAATATCACCAGTAAAGAATATTTATATGATAGAAGATCGTAACATCGACGCTGAAGTAATTTCCATGTGCTCATTATATTGATAAAGATTCTGCATGCGATTAACATTGCTAAAACTGCTGTAAAAATTCATATAACACTGTTTACAGCTGATTTTAACCGGTAAAAACTTCGATGCATAGTAAATAACCATAGACAAGATAAAGTATAGATTTAATATATAAGTATCTAATAGTGAAAAAATTATATATTTATTATTTTTATTAATTTATTATTTATATACTTATTATTTGAATATTTTAATCTAT